GATTGTTACTCCGAACCTTCCATGACCCGTATCCCATAACTTTTCACTTTAGTAGACTTATATCCCTGTAGCTCCACCCTATACACCCCATTCCTAAAACCCCACTACCCTCATAACCCTAACCTTGTCTTGCTCATCTCCGTAGTCAATTTATTTTTTTCTCTCTCAGTCGATCTCTTTCACTTTTTTCTAGTTCGAGTACGTTGCAGAAGTAAGGACACTAAAGGGTAGAGTTACAAATGAATCGAGTTGCTCATGAGCTGACTCGGCTCGTTTAGCCGAGCTCGAATAAGCTCGACTCGTTTATCTTTATTTAAATTATATAATAAATATATTATTTATGTATTAAATAATATATACATATATAAATAATAACATAAATACATTATTTATGTATTAAATATTATAAATAATATATTTTTATTTAAACGATATAATAATATATGAAAAAATCTTATTGAGTTGAGTTGGAATTTCATTAATATTAACAAGCCGAGCTAAGTTTTAACTTAGTTAGTTATCGAGCCGAACTTGAGTTTAATAAACGAGTTCGATGAGTAAACAAATCGAACTCGAATTTAGGCCTATTTTGAAAAGATGGTTATAATTAGTTTTTTTGTGAAAAGTTGTTTATAAGCAGTTTATAAACAATTTTTTTATGAGAGAAGAAGTGGGTTATAATCTGAAAAGTGAATTATAACCCACTTCTCAAAATAGTAAAGTTCGATTCTACTCGTTTGAGCCCTACTAAAGGGTAATAATAAGGTGAAGGATGATGCGCAAATAAGAATTAATAGGAAAAGATAATGGTGGCTGGAGTAGGATGACAACCATAGCCAATGACTAAGGTTTGAGAGAGGTATCTAAAAGAAATTTACAAATTTCAAAATTTACAAAGTAGGATCAAAATAATGTTTTGCTTAGAAAGTGATTTTCGTAATTTGTTTTTTTGGTTAAAATGTGAGATTAAAAATTAAAATAATAACTTAAAAATTTGTTTAAGTTATTTCCTTAGCCTTAGTCAAAAAAAAATTCTCTACTTTTTGTACTTTTTTTTATAAAAAATCAAAAAAATTATTCTAAACATATTAATTTTATTTACTTCATATTTTAATTAAAAAATTATCAACATAACATTTTTCCAAATAAAACATAAATTTAGTAAAGGTATCATTAATCTTTAATTTAAATGACTGAAAACCCAAGGGGACAAACCTTCGTGAGCTGTAAATTGCTGTTGAATTAAATCTGTACATCATTATAGACTCCCACGCGCACAAACCCACACGTCCATTACACAGGCCATTTCATTGCTATAATTTTGGAGCGTGGTAACCACTCTCCATCAGTTCGAATGGTAACGCCTCCCAAAGAGACAAGCCAATCAGGGATTGGTTAACTGGCTCCTGCCATTTCCAAACTGTTTCAAATTCTACCACAGTAAATTATACAGTGCTTCTCGCAACATCAACTCATGCGCAGTATTGTGATCATAACCGTTCATTTTTTCGGTGTAGCTTCTCATGATGTTTCTCTTACTCATCAACGTTGATTTAAAATAGATGAGGGCAAAAGATTAAATAGAACAGTAACACCACTAAGATGTGGTTAATTATTAAGGCCAAGTTTAGAAACTTGTAAAAAAGTTAAAAGTTAATACTATTTATCAAAAGTTAACAATTACGGCTGCACAATTTCTAATTCAAATTTTTCTTTACAAATCAAATTTTACAATTTTTTATTACACATTTTTTCATAAAAAATCAAAAAGTTAACCAAAACATCCATATTTTCAACCTCAATTTTTTAGTTCAAAAAGATAAAAAAGTACACTTATTTAAGATACCCCAAACAATCCCTAAATAGGATACATGATCTTTTTGGTTAGGCTAACTTAGGTTCACATAGAGAATTTGAAGGATTTGTGAATCTTATTATAAGTTCCATTTTCAAACATTCATTTTTTTAAATTTGTTGAGGTTAAATTTGGCAAGTTAAAAAAAGGTTAAAAGGTTAAAAAGTTATTACTATTCATCAAAAGTTAAAAAGTATGATTGCACAAATCTCAATCCTAATTTTTCCCCACATACTAATTTATATAATTTTTTAATACATATTTTTTCATAAAAAGTTAAAAAGTTAACCCAAACATCCATATTTTTTTCTTCAATTTTTTAGTTCAAAAAGACAAAAAGTACACTTATTTAGGACATCCCAAACAACCTTATTTATATAAAAAATTAGGTATCGATAGTTATATGTTTAAATCAAATTTATATTACAACAAATGAATAGTTATTTTTAACATTATATTTATCGTATATTTTTTCAAAAATAAATATGAACCAAATATATAACTATCAATATCCAATCGCTTTGATTGTTTATATGAATATTTTATTTAACAAGTCAAAAAAAATAAATGATTCAAATTACCAAAATTGATTCCAAAATGAACTTACCAAACTTAAGCGTTCTCTCAAATTAAAATGACAACTTGATAAAAGCTAGATCCTCACATTTTAATATAGCTTCGTTTGGGAAGCCATGGTTTGGGCTTTTTTGGCTATTTTAGTCACAAAAAATAAAATAGGCTATTTTAGTAATAACAAACAAAACATCACATCCAACCCATAATTATTGCATTCTTCTCTCACAAAAAAACTCAAAAAAGTCAAAAAGTCCTTCCCAAACCAAGCTTTTAAGCCCAGGTTAAAATAACTAAAAAAGCTAAAAAGCTAAAAAATCAACAACTACTAAAAAAGTTAAAAAATTAAAAAGCCAACTCACTCCCCAAACGGAGACTATGAGATTTAAGATTCATATAATCATTTACCATTAAATAGTGATATTTTTACGGGTACATGATAATGATCTTCTGTCACACTTCATTAATATTTTTATAAAATAATATGCATTTTTGGATTGTCAACAGCAACATGAATAGATGTATACAACTGTAACTAGCCCTCTTTGAGCTTGTTGGAATTAAACACGTCAAAGGTTCAAGGGTTGGTACAAAGATGTATACAAATATATTAAAATTTATATTACGTTTATAAAAATGCTCTAGAATGTGCATAATTTATATTGAGATTATCATAAAGTTTGACGATTATTTTTTAAATTATTAGTTTAATTTTTTTATAATCTAAAAATGCCGAAGTGTTTAATAATTATTTAAAAATTTATTTTTTTTGCCGTCGGTGAATATTTTATTTTTTATTTTTATTTACTTGCTTTTAACTTAGGGACGTTTTGGAAAGATGGTTAAAAGTTGACTTTTGAATTTTAACCAAGTTTTTGGCTTTTTTAAAAAAGTAATTTAGAAAGCTGATAAAAAATTACTTTTGACTTTTTTTATTAATATTTGTTTATAATGTCACATCACAATAAAATAACTAAACGATTCTCTAATGTAGAAAATTTATATTTTCAGCCATGTAAATATAAAAAAAAATAAAAGATACAATTGCAATTTTATTTGTTATAAAAAAAGTCAACCTAACTTTTTTAGAAAACTAGCTAAAAATGTAACTTTTTACTTAAGTTACCAAAATAGCTCAAAAAACAGCTTTGGAGACCGTTTCTTTCTTTTTTTTCCGTCATTAGCACAATAAAACTTTTATTATTCACCTATAATATAGAAGGATGTTGCTTAGCCTATAGATTAAAACCAACCTTAATTTTATGAATACAAAATAATCATAAAATTGATCACAAAAAATAATGAGAGTGAATTACACTGATCTCTCATGAAATTTAAATAAAAAAGTCAATCTCATAATTTTGACATAATTATATTGAGTCTCTTTGAGATTTTAATTCACATAATACTTAGTCCCATTATATCAGTAATTAGCTAGTTATATAAATTAAAAAAATATGATTTTATCATATATTTTACATTATAATGTATATTTTACTTTATTTATTTTTATATTTTCACGTCATCTATGTTTTTTATACCTTTTGACCTTACTAAAAAGGAGATTGGCATAATTATATTGAAATTGTCTATATTTTCTTGAACTCTTAATTAGGGAAGTAGTGTAATTAAACAAAATAATAATGATGCAAGAGTCATTCTACTTGCAATGATCCACTCGGAATTTTTGAGATCCATTTTGCAACTATTTTAATGTGTATATAATTATTATTAAAATCGTTCGATTGAGCGTCTCTACGGTTCACATTTTAACATGAGAGAACTTGAGCAATAAATAGGGTTCACTAGGGATCACATTGTAATAATTCGAACCGTTCATTTTATAAGGTCCTCAATATTCATCATTCATAAAAAATTAGTTTGATTCGATAATCATAACCATTTTTATTTTATTACATGTATTTGTCTCTAAAAAAATAAACGAAGAATATAATTTTTAAAATAGATCATTTATTTTTTTAGAGATAAATATGCTAAAAAGAAAATGTTACGATTATCAAATTGATTTAATTTTTTTATGGTAATACACATTAAGAGCATTACAAAATAAATGATTCAGGATCATAGAAATAAGATCAGTGGTGAGTCCCACGGGCCCCTAAAATTATCTCATTTTGAGAGAAACTCAACACAAAACAAATAACTCAAACAAAGTGACAAGGGAGTGCAATAATAAATAAAATAAATTACCTAGATCACTCCTAAGGTTGAAAAAAAATACAGTAAGTTTCACAATTTTCACGCAATTATGCTAATTTCTTTTTTTATTAGTACAGTTAAATGAATTGAAATTAATACAGAAAGTGTAAAAATATTAAGATAAATATGATAACATTATTTTTTATTTATATAATTGTCAAATTATTGATAAAAATGAAACTAAATATTACATGAACTGAATATAATTATATAAAAATTATAAGATTTATTGTATTTTCTCCTAGGGTTAGTGTAAAATTACTCTGATAATAAATATAAAACATTGAAACTCCTTCCCTTGCAATTTTACAACATCGCTGGAATCATTGAGCTCCAGTTTAGGAAAAATTCTTGGGTAGCGAGTAAACTGTCGTATTATTTTCCATTAATACAATTCCATATTCAATGTTTCCCTTAGTGGCCCCTAATCTCTTCAACCAAACAAGTCCTTAGTTCCCAAATCAAAACCCCATCATGATCATCACGAAATCAAACGGCTGTGATGCAAAATCAAACTCCAAATAACCTGTTCAATGATGTACTCTAATATTACCCCAAAATTTTTGATTGCTTTGCTGCCTATAAAATTGAATCTTTCCCTCTATATTCTCTCCAATTTTTCAAGGCTGCTCGAAAGAGAGATAGAGAGAGAGAGTCTCTTCTCTGCTATTTGCTCTCTTTCAGAAACCCTAAAGATATATTTGATCATCGCAAGGTAAGATTGAGAACAGTTTCAGTGTCCTTTGACTTGATTTCAGTCATATATATATACATTGTCTCACTGAAATTCTTCTTCTAGCTTTCATTGAAAATTTGTTTTTGGTATGTGCGTGTATTGAAGAGGCTTGAAGCTTTGAATCACGGTTTAGAGTACGATTTGTGGATTTTTTTTTTTGACTGCATTGGTGATCTTTGTGTGACTCTGATTCTACTGGTTTGTCTCCTTTGCTTTTTTATACACATGAGGTTATTTCTTGATTCATTGATGGGCTTCAATTCGCAAGTTATGTTTTTCTTTTTCAGTGCTGTAGATTGTTGTTTTGGTCCTGTTGTTGATTTTGATTGTGTTTGTTAGTCAATGCTGTTGATTTCTTTGTCTATTTTTTCTCCCCGGGCTACTTATTTCATATTCTCTTTCTATTCTTTTTTTTTTTTTTTTTTGGGTTTGGGAATTTATTTTTCTCCCCGGGCTACTTATTTCATATTCTTTTTTTTTTTTTTTTTTTTTTTTTTTTTGGGTTTGGGAATTTAATTGTTTCAGCATATAATTTTGCTTGAACCATTATAACATTCTGGGTGCTATTCTCTTTATTGATTTTGAAAATAGGTAGATAATATATGCATCTGGGTGTGTATTTACTTGCTTTTATCAATATCTCAAATGCATACATGTATGAGTTCTTAGTTGCTTAGCAAAAATAAAATTTATGCACATATATATGTGAGAATAATATTAGTATAGTATATATTGTGAGAACAAGATTTTTGAAGGTTTTTATGTATATTCAATTGTATTTCAATACAATGTGTACATATGATAAATATAGCAATTCTAGACTTAATCCTAAATAGGAAACAAGAATAAACCTAAACCAATCTTAAATAGAAAAGAATAAACCTAAACCAATCCGAAATAGGAAACAATATTCACACAATATATACTATACTAATATTATTCTCACAATATATATACATATATTATATTCACACGTGCACATGGTTTAGTGTGTTTTCTTTTTTCTTCTTTCTACTTGTGCTTGTGCATATTGAGTGCACACATGACCTGTATGTGTGACTGCTTGTTTAGGTTCTTTGGATGGTTTTTAATTGTCAACTTGTTTTGGATAATTTTTTTTTTTACACTGCTATAAAGGTATATTTTTTCAATTAGGGGAAATTATTTAGGGATATTAGGTTTAGTTGATTAAAAATGTGTTGCTGTCTTGACAATTCATATTTTAGTATTAGATATCCTTCTAGTGTCTATGCTATAACCCTCTTGAAATTATCACTTGTGTGTGTGCCACTCCTAGCTTTTTCACACTTGATGAGAATTGGTACATTTTGATGTGTAAAAATTGTCTTAGCTCGGAAGAAAAGAAAAAGTAATTATGCTTGCTTTTGTAATCAGTGTTACAGAGGTGTGAATGGATTGAAGAAAAATATTTAAGTTTTTTCACTTTTGTTAAGTTTGGTAGGATTTCTTCACTATGTTTTGAGGGGCTAGATTTTTTTTGCCTGAATTTTTCATGGAATACTATTTTGAACTGCTATCAGATGATATTTTCTTTCTTACTGGTTTGAACTGCTATAATCATCAATTTGAGTAGCCTTCATGGCTCTTTTTTGCACCTGACGATAATTGATATATTTAACAGTGTAAACCTTGTCTTAGATGTGGAGCAAAAGTAATATATTATGCATACTTGTGCAATTGGTTGTAGAGGTGTGGATGGATGGAAGAAAGATATTTGAGAAAGGTTTTCCATGGAGGATCCTCCTCTCCTCTCTATTTGTGATTTTTTGGTAGTTCATTCATGTAATCTTTTGAAAAGGTGTCTAAGCCATTGCCTTGAAAAATTGTGCTGCATTGCAAATATTTCATGCCTGCTGTTTTATATATGTTTCGGTGAGTTTCTTTTTCATGTTTTCTTGACATCATAAAATTGCTGACACTAACATCTGATTATTATTTGCATAATCAGCAGGATAACTTCAGGACTACTGGTGTAAACTGCTATCAGATGAAATTCTGAATTGTGTTTCATGTTATGTTCTTTACTTGGAGCATGGCATTTAGGGATGTTAATCATAAATCATAAATCATTATTTGCCTCATAGAACTTGTTCAAATTTCTTTTGTTAAGCATCTTTCATGGCATTCTTTACTTGGCAGCATGGCATTAAGGGATTTTAATAGTTTTATTTCTTCCTAGAACTCATTTAGGTGGATCCTTTTGTGTTCCTTGAGTTGGTAATTCATTGCTTTTTTTAAACTTATTGCTTGTGTATTTGGCTTGTCTTAGAATCTTCTAGGTTACTGCTTCAAATAAAAGATGGAGAAAGAGGCAGTGGGGTCCCGTCGTTTACCACCACCACCACCAATTATACCACCCACTGTAAAGCCAGAAAAACTGGTCACTCCTGAGCGTTCTATAATCAGTAGGCGCGGGTTTGGTAGTGCTGGGCGACGCATTTCATTGCTGACAAATCACTTTAAAGTTTCTGTCAAATCCCCCAATGAAATATTTTACCAGTATAGTGTATGTTCGCCATCTGTCCTACTTTTATTATTTAAAGTTTGCAGTGGTTCAGCATGAAACCTATTGTTCTATACCACATGCAGGTTTCTATTAGTTCGGAGGATAAGAGAGTTGTCGAGAACAAGGGAATAGGGAGAAAAATTATTGATAAACTTTACCAAACGTACTCTTCTGAACTTGCTGGGAAGAAATTTGCATACGATGGAGAAAAAACTTTGTACACAGTGGGGCCTCTACCGCAAAACATTTCAGAGTTCACAGTGGTGCTTGAGGAGTCATTTGCAAAACGGTGGGTCTTTTATTTGTATTTTTTAATTATTTAGTTATCCTGTATTTTTATATTTAGTTTTTAAATTATAATGCATGAAACCAATATTTATATTTCATTTTTTCTTATCTGGTTGTGGTAGTGGGAGCCCTCCTCACAATGGGAGCCCTAGTGAATCTAGTAAAAGGTCAAAGCGTTCGTTTCAGTCAAAATCTTTTAATGTGGAAATCAATTACGCTGCGAAAATACCCTTGAAGTCCATTTCTCTTGCCCTCCAAGGATCCGAGGTGGAAAATATTCAAGATGCACTAAGAGTGCTAGATATTATATTGCGGCAGCAAGCAGCTAACAGGTATTTTAAAATTTCCCCTTTTGTTTTTTGTTTTTTTATTGGCGAAAGTTAGTTGTTAATTATTAGATTAACACCCTGGGGGAGTTGAACCCCTTACCTCACCCTTGCAAGCCCTAAGTGCTGCCACCCATGCCACTAGGCCACAAGGAAGGCCATCGGCTTTCCCCTTTTGCTTGTGTTTCTTCTTGTTTCCACATCCGCTATCTTTTTGCTAAATGAACTTATGGTGTTGAATGCAGGGGTTGCCTTTTGGTGAGGCAGTCATTCTTTCATGACGACTCGAGGAATTTCACTAATGTTGGAGGAGGTGTAACTGGCTGTCGGGGGTTCCATTCCAGCTTTCGTCCAACTCATGGTGGTTTATCCTTGAATATGGGTATAACTCCATTCTTTTGTCCTTTTACTGTCAGGGATTGCCCTTTTCCCTTTTTAATGCTGCTTACAATTCATTGTGCAGATGTGTCCACAACTATGATTTTAACACCTGGACCTGTGATTGATTTTCTTCTGGCCAATCAGAATGCACGGGAACCTCGTAATATTGACTGGGCAAAGGTAATTTATTGGTAGTTTGTTCTGCATTTTATTTTTATTATTTGTCTATTGAAATTGTAATTGGTTGGACATGTTCAGGCTAAGAAAATGCTAAAAAATATGAGGGTTAAGACAAGGCACAGCAACATGGAATTTAAGATCATAGGCTTGAGTGAAAAGCCTTGCAATCAGCAATTGTAAGTGGTTTGCTTGTTTAATTGCACGGAACTTCTTCTTTTGATACATTCTGGTTGAAAACTTATAATGCTGTTTTGTTTTATTGTTTCTCCAAGTTTTTCTTTGAAAGTGAGGAATGCTGATGGTGGATATGGAGGGGAAGCTTTAGAGATTACCGTGTATGATTATTTTACCAAACACCGTAACATTGAACTTACTTATTCCGCTTTCATGCCATGCCTTGATGTTGGAAAACCAAAACGGCCCAACTATCTTCCGCTAGAGGTATGCAAAATTATTTTTTTCTTGATTGTGTTTCTCAATCCCCACCCCCTTGGCCCTCTTTTTTTCTTTAACTCTCTCCTGCGACTCCCTTTCCTTCTGTACAAGATTTTGATGTTGTTTTTGTCTTGGTATTCCAGCTTTGTACCCTTGTATCTCTTCAGCGTTATACGAAGGCTTTATCTTCAATGCAGAGAGCATCTTTAGTTGAAAAGTCGAGGCAAAAGCCTCAGGAACGAATACGAGTTGTGACTGATGTAAATTCTTGCTATCATCTTGATGCATGTGTTCTTAGTTTTTAATGTTGTAATCTTACTGTTCATTTAATTTTGCAGGCTTTGAAAACTTACCGTTATGATGATGACCCTCTCTTTGTTGCTTGTGGCATTTCAATTGAGAAACAGCTTACCCAGGTTGATGGCCGTGTCCTTGAAGCACCAAAGGTAAATTTTGACTTTCTGTTAAAGGTTGTTTCTATTTAACTATTGTTTCAAATATCAATTGTCTTTTAAATTTATTTGAGGATGTTTTTGTGCAAATTTTCTTTCAAATACCAATTAACTACTGTTGTCTTTTGACTTATATTCGTCTTGCAATTTGTAGTTGAAGGTTGGTAATGGTGAAGATTGCATACCTCGTAATGGACGATGGAATTTTAACAACAAGGTATGCCCTTGGTTTCCTTATAATAATGGAAGAGAAGTGTTCCAACTTTAGGTGGAGGGTTGCAGAAATTGATAATTCTCTTACATTCCCTATTTTGCTTAAATTCAGCAACTTTGTGAACTAATTTGGCAGTTAATTGTTCTTGTTTTATTCTTTTAAAGCAACTCTTCACCCCCATCCGAATAGAACGGTGGGCAGTTGTCAACTTCTCTGCTCGTTGTGATACAAGTCATCTTTCCCGAGAACTTATAAACTGTGGAAGGAACAAGGGCATTGTAAGTACCCTGTATTTGTTTCTGTGTTGCGTATTTTTGTTTCAGACAAGCTTTGCTTGATATAATTAATGGTTTTCTTTACGTTCAGAATATTGAACGTCCGCATACTCTAGTTGAGGAAGATCCACAATATAGAAGGTCTAGCCCCATAGTTCGAGTAGAAAAGATGTTTGAACTGATCACTGGTAAACTCCCAGGCCCCCCTCAGTTTCTTCTCTGTGTCTTGCCAGAGAAGAAAAATTCTGATATTTATGGTAAGATTTCTGTATCTTTTATTTTTATTTTTATATTTATTGTTTTAAGGCAATTTTACATATAATGTTCTAAATTTTCTTTACGTTGTTAAGGACCATGGAAGAAGAAAAGTCTGAGTGACTTTGGAATAGCCACTCAATGTATTTCACCTACTAAGATCAATGATCAGTATCTAACAAACGTCCTTCTGAAGATCAATTCCAAGGTAGTCTGGTAATTAAAGCTCAGAAAAATGTAAGGCTATATTTATTCATCTCACAGTCAAGTCATTAATTCTGTGTGTTTCTTTCCATAGCTTGGAGGTACAAATTCCTTGCTGGCCATAGAGCATGCCTCTCGTGTCCCCCTGATAAAAGATACTCCGACTATGATATTGGGGATGGATGTCTCTCATGGGTCTCCTGGTCGATCAGATATTCCATCGATAGCTGCGGTACTTTGATTTGTATTTTATTTTACTTTATTTTTTTGGCAGCATCTAGATCAGTCACTTTGTTAAATGGTGCTTAATAATTATGTTGTTGCTCATCCAATTGGATATTTATTTTAGGTTGTTGGATCTCGATCTTGGCCGCTGATATCGAGGTATAGAGCAGCTGTACGAACACAATCGTCAAAGGTGGAAATGGTTGAATCTTTGTTCAAACCTTTAGCAAATGGAAAGGATGATGGTATTATGAGGTATTTCTAACATGAAGGCATTTTCTCAATATTATGAATTGAAGTTCGTTATATATAATTTGGTTTCAATTTTGTGTAATCTAATATCCATTATACTGTTAAAGAAGTGTCCTTGCTCTCTATGCTCTAGGGAACTGCTTGTGGACTTCTATCAAACGAGCAATGGACGCAAACCAGCTCAGATCATCTTATTCAGGTAATCATTATATTATTGTGGTAAAATTTTAGTTGTACTGATTTGTTTTTGTTAGTTTTACAGAGGATAAATTGTCTGTCAAGAATGTTACGATTATTGTATAGACTAAGAAGCACAGATGTAGACATGGGTTAGGTCTAATTCAAAAAACTTAGGATTCTGACACCCCGCTGAGAAACATATTTTTTAAAAATTGTTTATTTTATATTACTATACGGCACATAGATATGAGAGGCATCAATGTATGTAGGTTTAATTTTGTCATTTTTTGTCCTTTTTTTCCCTACGAGTGTACTGACTATTTGTTTAGGACACAGGTATGCTTGTGTCTTTAGCTGCTACAACTGTGTTGCGTATTTGTTTGCACATCAAGTTTATGCCAATGAATTACCTTATGATTCTTTACTCACTGAATTTTACTGTTCTCCTAGGGATGGAGTGAGCGAATCGCAATTTAATCAAGTTCTGAACACTGAGCTGGATCAAATGATTAAGGTTTTTTACTGCCTACAATTTTGATTGAATGAGTTTTATCTCGTGGCATGTAATTTATTTATTTTTTGACACGAGACAAACTATTACCCCACACACACCTGGCCACTGGATTGCAGTCACTTTATGCCAAATGCTAAAATTATAGTAATCTAAAATGACCATTCAACCATCCACTGAAAATGGCACCTGATTGTTTGAATCAAATTGATGCATTTTTGCTTTCAATTCTGAGCTTCTCATCTTTTTGTTACCACAGGCTTACCAGCATCTTGGCGAGGCCACAATTCCCAAGTTCACGGTTATTGTGGCTCAAAAGAATCACCACACAAAGCTATTTCAATCTGGGGCCCCTGAAAATGTTCCTCCTGGTCTGTTTCTTTGCAGCATTGGTTTGTTTCTGTTCTAACTTAATAAGCTGTTAAAACAATCTCACTATGCACATGTGCGCATCCACTTATGTGCAGGTACTGTGGTTGACACAAAAGTTGTTCATCCAAGGAACTATGATTTTTACATGTGTGCTCAAGCAGGGATGATAGTAAGTTTTTTTTTTGAACATAAGTCATTACCCTTTTTTTTCCCTTTCCAGGTTATCTGATTATTGCATGTTGGTCCAAATCTTGTTTTGATCTGTTAAAATAGCAGTGCACGGCATGCATTATATATTGAGAATCTTTTAGGGAGTTTTAGCATACTGAGGGAAGATTAGAACTCTATTTTGTTTGTAGTTCCAAAACATGGAATTGCCTCAACTAATCCATATTAGGTTTTCTTAGTCAGCTGATTTAGCTTTCTTCTTTTCTCAGCATTCTGATAGTGGAATCTAGTATGCTTGTGTTACAATAGTATCAACTTATTTTTTGCTCGATTTTTTGTTCTAATTTGACCGTGTTTGAAATGAAAGGGAACTTCTCGGCCTGCACATTATCATGTCTTGCTTGATGAGATTGGTTTCTCTCCTGATGACCTGCAGAACCTTATCCTCTCACTATCATATGTGTAAGCTTTAAAGCTCTCATTTTATTCTAAATCTGCATCTGAAGTTTCAACTTACAATGACATTATTCATTTGTATTTGCCCTTTCCAGGTACCAAAGGAGTACTACTGCAATCTCAATAGGTATGTTACTGCCTTTAGTAAATATATGGTATTTCTTTCTTTTCTTTTTTCCCTTCAAAATGAAACCTTAAAGGCCTTTCTCACTATTTTTTCTTTCTTTAGTGGCACCTGTCTGTTACGCCCACCTTGCAGCCCAACAAATGGGGCAATTCATCAAGTTTGAGGAATTCTCCGAAACATCTTCAGGGCAAAAGAGCCTCACATCCGTGGGAAGTCCTGCAGTTCCTGAGCTGCCGAGATTGCATGATAATGTTGCGGGTTCTATGTTCTTTTGCTGAGCCGATGATAACGTTTGCAGGCGTAGGTACATACTGGGTATATGTGATTAGTTTCGTTAAATCTGTAGATACTCGGGTGGTATAGGGTGTATACAGGAGACCCCAAGTGCTTATTCTGGGGTATTAGAACTAGGTAATCAAGCAACTCTCAGATTGGTTTTGGACAGTTATCGCATTTACTTGATTAGGGTTAAGTACTTTTTAAAGAAAAATCAGCATAGGTAATCATGACCAATTGATGGTTTCAGTAGTAGTTTGCATGTTAGAAAGTGCTAATACTGTTGTCTCGCCAGTCTTGTTTGGCTGTTAAATATGCACTTTTACATGCTATTATGCATTGGAGGTTTTTAAGTAATCAAGTTCTCAGATTCGATTTTCTTAAATTTGTTCTGTCATTTATCTTCTGTGTTGTTTGTTTGTTTATCTTTTGCCTGTCAGCAATATTTTTTTGGAAACAAATTGTTTCCAAATATTTTCGCAGTTTGTCATGTTTCTGGAGAACAGTTTTCGGAAATATTTTGCCAAATGAATTGTGTTTTTGGAAAAATGAAAACACAACCAATTGGGCCCTTAATTTCTATTATTTCCTCGTGGGTTTTCTACAGTTCGTCAGGCCTTTACTTGGATTAACAGGGCAAGTTATCTCTTGGAAGTCCTATTTTGTTGTCTACAATGTGTGGTAGAGAAATTAAACTATGATTGGTTGCTTTCATATGCAAGCTTTAAGTTGAGAAATTCTTGATAAAGAGGGTAATTGGGGACCCCTCTTGGTGGCATCTTTAATGCTTCTTTTTGACTATGATTTCTATACATTTCAATGTCCTAAATTTTGTCATTAATCTTTGTTTCACGTAACATGAGTTGAAATTAGTATTGAGAGCTCTCATGACTTGGAGCAATGGCAAATGCTATCCGCTCATGGCTTGTGTTCGAATCGTGGATATTAGCTTCTCCACACATAGTGGGAGGAAGCCTCGTCTACTACTTTTTTACAAAACTATTTGTATGCCATTGTTTTTTGAAATACTGTTGTATGATCTTTATTTTCTATGGCTCATAAGATTGATTCCTTGTTGCTGTTTCTTGTCCTTCCTATTTGGTGAGGTGTTGGAATTTTTGAAATTTCAGACCTTAATAGCACAGAACTGAGGGTGTGTGAACATGTTGAACAGGCTGCTTTTTAAGTAGTGACTAGAGATGCCTATGAATTTTCCTGTCTTTGGACCTAAAAATAGAAGCCAATAATTCTTGACTTAATGGCTTTAACTCTCTGGACCAAACTCCCAACTGTCTGTGCTTTATTGCCATTTTTTTTTTGTGGTAGCAATGATAACACATAACACACTTCACTTCTTCAAAGTTACTATTGTACTTAGGCCTCGTTTGGAAACAGGCTAATTTAATAATTTTTTGATTATTTGGCTAAAATATGAGTTAAAAAAAATCAGTGGGCTCGTTTGGTTTGATTTTCTGAAAAAAATTTGGGAAATTTTCCGATTTTTTTTTTTTTTTATATTCTTTTCTTTATCCTTCCTTCTTCCTCCCCTTTCTCTTTCCATCTTTGTCTTCCTTCTCTGTCTTTAACAGTTCTATATTTGTATATGTCTATGAATGTGTATATATATATAAATGTGTGTATCTATCTCTGTAGGTTCAAGTTGATGACTTGACTTGAAATATAGGCCTCGTTTGGAAACAGGCTAATTTAATAACTTTTTGACTATTTGGCTAAAATATGAGTTAAAAAAAATCAGTTGGGATGACTTTTTGGCTTTTTACGAAAAGATGTGCGAAAAGTAGAGAAAAAAGAGAATATTTGACTTTTTTGTATATGTTGTTGGCTTTTTGACTAATTTAGTAACTTTTTGACTTTTTGACTAAAATAGAGGGTTCCCAAACAAGGCCTTACTACCATTTATAAACAAAACAAAGACAAATGCTCACAAGTTAATAATTGGTTGGGAATGTGAGAAAAATATTTTCAAAAAATGTAAAAAAAAATTAGAAAGTGTATTTAATTTAGTGATAGTGGTCTTAGAATTTACTTATTTTTATGTTTTATTTAGGTTAGTCATTTTAATTTGATTCAAATTTTACTTTGATATTTGTATTTTTATCTTCAATTTAAATTTCACTCTTCCAATTATGTTTTAATGTGATTTTTTTTGTTAGTTGCAGTTAACATTTTGGACCAAAAAAAAAAAAAACGTCATGAGGGAATTTTAGCAATTCTAGCACAAAAAATAAAAAAGAATAAATTACATTGATTATCTTTATAGTTTCTTTTGAATTTACCTTTGCTTCTTTTTTTTTTGAAATAAAAATAAGCTTTGATTTTTAATAGTTTCTTTTGAATTTAGTTTTGAATAAATTACATTTATTATCTTTATAAAAAAGTCAATGATTATCCAAATGTTGAAGATAATTGGCAATGAAACAAAATTAGAAACATGAGGTGTCAGTTGATGAATTAAAATTATGGAAATTAAAGTGAAATTTCATTCAAACTACATGATCAATGATATAATTTATGGTGGTGTTATCTGTACTAATTAAATATTAATTAGTGTATTAACATATGTTATGATATTATAATATTAAATTTATGATTCCACTTATTATATAAATTACGAATATTTAAAACTTTTAAAATTATATCACATTGGTCATGTTTGTTTGGGTGGACATGAGCTTGGGATTGGACTAATAGTCCAATAAAATTATTAATCTAATGTTTGGTTAAACAATTGAAGTACGGATTAATTATTTTAAACTTGACTATTAGTTAAGATAGGATACATAATCCAACGGATTGGTAGTCCTAGGACTATTAGTCATGGGAATACTAATCCAGTCCGCCCAAACAAACATGGCCATTATGTATTAGTACACTAAGGCTTCGTTTGGGAAGTAGGTTGGCTTTTTGGTTTTTTGACTTTTTTAGTTATTTTAGCTTGGGCTAAAAAGCTTGATTTGGGAAAGACTTTTTTACTTTTTGGCTTTTTTGACTTTTTTTGTGAGAGAAGAGTGTAATGATTATGGGTTGGATGTGATGTTTTGTTTGTTTTGGTTAAAATAGTCTATTTTATCTTTTGTAGCTAAAATAGTCAAAAAAGCTCATAAACCAACTTGCCAAACTGAGGCTAATTGATATATCAATTAATACATATAGAATTATTCTATAATTTGCTTTTTTAAAAGACTGAAACTTCAGTCAAATATACCGAGATCAATGACATAAATTATCCTTAAAAAACAGAAAATATTTTAGGATGGTTTAAAAACATCTGATTAATTGACTGAGTAGTGACCAGCTCACTTTACACGGTTTGAATTGAACGATTCAGCCTTTTATGCAACTCAAAAGAAATTACTGTTTTGAAATTTGACCTAAACTTTGAAGTTTGAACAACCATTGAATAATGTTGTTATCATTTTCAGTCTCATGTTTATTTGTGTGGCTCTCATTTTTTACTAGTATGTTGCCTTCTTTTGGCTCTATGGCCACGTTTGCTTGCCTTCCCATTTTGGGTCTTCAAAATAGAATTTCATATGTAAATTTTAGTTATATTTTTAATAAATATTTTTTGAAATTTTGGTTGATAAAAATAAATATTAAACAGATATTTTTTAATTTTATGAAGTTATTTCTATTATTTAAAAAGATAAAATTACATAAAAATGATGAATATTTTTTTTTATTTTCTTTTATTTTTGTATCAAATTATTTTTTAATTTTTTAGATTTTTTCTTCTAAAAATAGATTTTGAAAACCAAATCAAATTTGTTTTCAAGAATTGTTTTTGCTAATTTTTTTTGAAAACACTACATTTTTAAAGAAATATTTTTGCTGAGTTTCTCAATTTTCACAAAATTACTTTTGGACAGAAGTATAAAGACAACGTGGGCTTATGAAATTTACATTGTTTAAGCTTTAAATGAAAAAGAAAATTGAGTAAATTACACTCACATTCTTAAAGATTTAGAAAAATACAATCTCACACTTTTGATTTAATTATATTAGTCTTCCTTGAGATTTTAATTCACATAACAGTTGAATATTTTTTCATCAGTAATTCATTAGTTGTTTAAAGGATGAATTACACTAACGGTCCCTATGGTTTGGGACTTGTGTCACTCTGGCCCTTGACTTTTCAATTGTGACATATTTGACAATGAATTTTGAATTTTATTCTAAATAAGAACGATTGAAGATATCATTGCTTAATTTCAAATACAAAATCATCAATTTGATAAAATATAAACTAATTTGACAAAAATAAATATCAATTTTTTTTTTGAATTTTTAAAAATTATTTTACCTACTAAAGATAAAATTATGTAAATTTGATAAATCTTTTAGATATTTATTTTATTTATTTACTTTTACTAAATTAATTTTTATTATGTGTTTGGATGATGATACGGTTGGTTGTTTTTATTTTCATTAAATTAGTTTCTATTTCTTCAAAAGCTAAATATGATGACAACTTTGATATCATTATTAAATCAATCCATCAAATCAAAAAATCCAATACTAAAAACATTTCATATATTAAATATATCGATTACACATTAAAATCTTAACAACCACATATTACATGATCATCATCCAAACACATAATAAAATTTAATTTGGTAATAAAATAAATTAAATAAATGTCCAAAAAATTTATCAATTTTATATAATTTTATATTTAGTGGGTACAAATAATTTTTAAAAATATTTTTTTGAAATTCATTTTTGTCAAATTAGTTTATATTTTATCAAATTAACGATTTTGTCCCTGAAATTAAGTAATGGTATCTTCAATTGTTCTTATTTGAAACAAAATTTAAAATGTAAGGTCAAATGTGTCACAATTGAAAAGTCAAGGATCAAAGTGACACGAGCCTAAACTATAGGGATTGTTAGTGTAATTCGCCCTTCTTTAAATGAAAAATAAAATAAAATTATAATCTTATTTTTTTTATACTAAAATGTATATTTATCTTTATTTATTTTAGTATCTACGCATTATATGCATTAATTTTGAACATTTCAGTCTTACTAAAGGAAGTTGAGTGTAAATATGTAAAAGATGTGGGATTAATTATATATATATATATATATATATTTCAAATCGTAGAGATGGTAAAAATAATTTGCCGGACGAAATTTTGATATCATGGAAAAACTCTTCTTTTTACAAATTCGTTTTCCACAATATTTGTTAAAATATCTAATCAACATATTTTTACTATTTTAATTAGTCATTTTTTATATGCACTCTCTAACAATTCCCTTTATTTAACTAGTCAACATTTAAATATTCATTCTTTCTTTATTTATTTAAATTATTGGATAGAGGAGAGAGGAAAGAAGAAGAAAGAGAATAAATTA